TATTGTTATTGAAACCCATAAAGTTATCGGCGTGATCTTATGATTATACCTACTATCCCTACTACGTGTGGGGAATGCCTGACTAGGAGACAGCCTACATGCATCCAAATATATAAATTTGAACTTGAATATGCACACTTTATGGGCTCGAAGATATTCCTTCGGTCTGTTAGTCATGGGTTCGAGCTTCGAAGTATTAAAATTTTATTAAAATTCTAGAAAATATAGGAGAAAGCTTCAGCTTGCCCAGACTCATTAATTCTTGAAAAATAATTAATGATATGTACATTAGCCGCTTCCTGTTTTGCGAGAGAAAGGGAGAGAGAGGGGCGCGCTATCACACTCGTAAGGCAACACAAGAAGTATTGCTTAATAATTACACACAACATCCCCCTCCCCGCTTTTGAGCACTTATCATGCCAGCTCCGACTCAGAATGGCTTCAAGGCGACTGCCAACTGACGCCGATCGAGTAAACTCAGTGAATTGGAAAGTGAGCGCAGAAGCTGCACGGACAGAGAGACAGACAGACGGACAGACATGCAACACCTGCTGCTTCCGAAAGCGACAGAATGAAACTGAAATGTTTGCGAGAGTGAAAATGAGCACACACAAGTCCACAATCGAAATCCTAGTGGACGCCATACAGACACGCATGTGACAATTGTTTTTATCAATTATTTAAACACAACTACTAAACAAATAGACGGCACAGCGAATTATGCAATGAACAATTGTTGTAAAATAACTATTTCAATCGTATGGCACACAGCGCATTACAACAATGAAAATGATAAATATTGAATCAAATACATACAGCCAAAGCCGACCTTGATGGCAGTTTAATCACGTAAAAAGGTTGCCAAGTGAGAGAAGTAAGCAAAGAGCCAAAGGGCCAGGCTAATGGCAATTACTAATTGTGCAGACGTTTTTAATTGTTTTTTTTTTTTGTAAGCACTAGAATCGCAATGAAATGGCAATTAAAATCGGGTAACTAACCTTTTGCTGATTTTGGCGTGACGAGTTTTCTGTTTCTGTTGATTGTTGTTGTTGATGCGCTCCAAATGTTGCCAAGACCAGGCCTAAGACCAACGACCAGGCCAAGCCAAAATGACTAATGCTCGCGCGCACACACACACAGACACAAGCACACAAACTCACGCAATATCGAAAACTTTTTTGCCGCGCTCGCTCGTTTAGCAAACTAGCCAAGAGCTGTTGGTGTGCGTATGTCACAACTTAATACAACAACACAAAAGAAGGCAGCTGCAATATGCAGTGCTATGCATGCAGCTGCAGCACACGCAGCTGTCGTGTTGTTTTGCACACTTTACACTAAACTAGCGAGTACAATTACAAATTATGGTTATAGGTTTACAATTAGTTGGTGCTTTGGCTTAATTGCAAATTTTTTTTTTTTTGTAGAACAAATTTCGTTTTTTACAGCTAAACTGCGCCGCGATTTGCTACTGTTGTTCGTTTTCGCTCGTTTGACAATCCGTTGCCAGAGTTGTATCATTCCGCTAGAGATGTTACTTGCGAATGCCGCGTTAAAAATATCGATATGTAAATGGCTTGAATTCGACACAAGGAAATGTTTCTTTAAATATACTTGTTTTACTCATATATTTTGGTATTTAAAATCTATTTCGAAATCTTAAGTTTTAGCAACTTAACATGCTTGGTTAAAGCCTTCGCAGCAATTTTTTAAAACTCAAATGTACATTGCGATAGGCTGGTAACACTGTCATCCAGCTGCATTCGGCTGCTACAAACAAAAACAAAAGCAACAACATCGCAGACCATTAAGCCCAAACAAAAGCGAACAAAACGGTGAAAAAACTATATATTGTTAATATAATCAGGCTGGGCCTTTTCCTGCGCACATATAGCATGGCCTGGCGCTCAGTTGGTGCAAACAATGCCGATCTTATACGTCAGCTACGAGGTAAGCATCCAACAAGTTCAACTAATCGACTTGTTCTAAATGTATGCACATTTGTATGTACCTGTATTTATAAATATATATTTTGAATAGATTACGGCGTAATTGCAACAGACTCGGTGGCAAATGCAATGTTAGCTACAGATCGCAAGCACTACTCTCCCCGTAACCCGTATATGGATGCACCACAGCCAATCGGCGGTGGCGTAACTATAAGTGCCCCTCACATGGTAATTTTGACTGTTGTTCCCATTTATAGCAAATGAATTTGATGGGAACTCAACTGTTGTGATTTTTCGACTTAGCACGCCTTTGCTTTGGAATATTTACGCGATCAACTAAAGCCTGGCGCTCATGTACTTGATGTGGGCTCCGGCTCTGGCTACCTAACCGCCTGCTTCTATCGCTATGTGAAGGCAAAGGGCGAAAATGCAAACACTCGCATCGTTGGGATTGAGCACCAGGCTAGTTTGGTGCAAATGAGCAAAACCAATCTTAACGCAGATGATAGCAGCATGCTGGAATCTGGCAACATGCTTATCGTTGAGGGAGATGGACGCAAGGGACATCCCGCTCTTGCGCCATACGATGCTATTCATGTGGGCGCCGCTGCGCCAGATACACCTACCGAATTGATAAATCAATTAGCTAACGGAGGTCGCCTAATCGTTCCTGTTGGCCCGGAGGGAGGAACACAGTATATGCAGCAGGTGTATATAGTTGTTATTTATGGCTTACTCAAAATCAATTGACACATTTTTTATACATCTATAGTACGACAAGGATGCCAATGGCAAAGTACAGATGACGCGTCTAATGGGCGTCATGTACGTACCACTTACGGATTTACGTTCTTGACTGCACAATCTGTGGAAGGCGCTGGTCGTTATGCTGCTGTTTGGTTATGTGGTCTACCGATTATGGATATCTTATCATTAGCATTATATCTTCCTAATATTAACAGCAAGCGCATAAAGCTCGAATGCTTCTTCCCATGTTAAACCAAATTATTATTTACATATATATTTAATAAACGCAATAAATTTATAAGTTTTCCGGAAGCGATGTCAAAGTTATGCCCCTAACGAAATGTTTATTGTAATATTACCACTTCTAGTACCTTTCGTAATATGCAATTGATATCTAATTTATATAAGAAACATAACTATGTTCATATTGAAGATTTCAGCGTCTGCTGCTTCCGCCAAATTTTCTCATCTCTTACCTATCAATAAGTCCATTGACAGCAAAGCCAAACTGTCAAAAGCATCAGCTGTTTGACGCACGTAATAATTTCTGAAGACTAACAATTAAATTTAGGCCACTTTTCTTAAGAATTTGTTTAAATTAATTTATGTATGCTTTATATCAAGTTTTAAAATGAAGTACTATTATGGATATATTCTGGATTCTGTCAACGAAGACTGGAAACGTATATATACTGCAACGCTTTCTAGAACATCCTTGCAGAATATATCCAAGGTTTACATAGGTGAAACGTTGTCTGGACACATGGTCCATACTGTGGCACAGAATGTGCGCGAGGACATAAGCAAAATCGTTGTTGAGGCCGTGAAGTATGCGCGACGGACGCGTTCCGCAAAAGTTAAAATGGAGCACTTGTTATTTGCATTGGAGGAGCATAATATTAATTTGGATCTGCTACATCTGAATTACACCTGGCCAGAATCTGAAGATAAGGAGGACACCGTGTCGACGTCTCGCGTAATAAAACGAAAATGTAAAATGCCATTGGACACAGCCTCAATAAGAAGACGCTCATTGACGCCAGAGGCTAGAGTACTTACGGCTCCCACAAGTGCTCCCAAGCGCTGGCTAAAGCGCGAGCAAGTGCTGCTGATGGGAAACAAAAAGTTTCCCCTATCGAAGGAACAACAAGAATTCTTTGTACTGATCACAGAAACTTGCATGGGCATCTCCGAGCCAACGCGTCGAGACGCGCTGCAGCGACTAAGTTCCGACTCATCGCTGCAACCAATGCTGCCCAAGCTGAGCCTGTTCATCGGCGAGGCTGTCAAGGTAAACGTGGTGCAGCAGAACTTCGCCCTGCTGTTATATTTAATGCGCATGGTGCACAGTTTGCTCGTCAATCCAAATTTAAAGCTTCAGAACTATGTGAGTTCCTTGTGTGATAATGCCAAGTGTTATATTTCATTCTTATTATTCGCTTTTGCAGCTACATCTTTTCATACCAGCAGTGCTCTCATGTACCGTGTCCCGGCAGGTTTGTGCCTTTCCGGCAGTTCAAAATCATTGGGCATTGCGGGAATATGCAGCCAACATTATGGCCGAGCTTGTGAAGACTTTCGACAGCGACGACAATAGTATTATGCCAAGAGTTATTAAGTATGTCCCCTTAAATTTTAATGTGAAAACGATTCGTATTGATTCATACAGTTGCAGTATCTATAAGGCTGGACTTCAAAGCTCATCCTTAACAACGATTTACGGCTCTCTCATTGGGCTGAGCAAAATGGGAAAGTATGCGGTACGTGGCTGCGTCATACCTCAAATCCGTGCTATATCCGCTATAATTGAAATGCATCTAACCAAGGAAGAATCCGATAATGATCTCAATAAGCAAGCGGCGATTTACATACGGCATAGACTTTTGAAGATGTCTGCTCCGATTCTCAAAAACATGCATGAACCGCCTGATATTCTTGAGCAGTATTCGCGAAAATATGGATTTCTGGGCTGTTCATTATATGATGCCGTTCTTTTAGAGCGTATTATGGACGATGTGGTTGAAGAGGCCAACGAGCAAAAGTTGTCAGCCGAAATTGCAGCAATGGATTCCTAGTTCATAACGCTGTGCAAAACCAATAAGAAAAATATAATTTTGTGTATTATTTATTATTTGCATTGTTTTTTTTTTTTTTTGTTTTTGGTATTCAATAAGCGGCTCAATTTTAAAATAACTTGACCGTTAGTGTGCTAAATCGATGGTTATTTTCGATTGCAACATCAATTTTATCGATAGTTTTGCGACTTTCGATGATTTTTTCAATGCTTATATTAGTAAATAATCGAAGTTTCCCAAGAAGTGCAGTCCACCAACAGGTTATAGGACACAAGCATGTCTACAAATGTTGGAACGATCCGCCTCAGAAACTTGGCTGAATTACAAATTTCAAATTTTGAAGAGGTAGCAGCGACTACGAAATGCATTTCGGAGGAAACCAAAACGCCAGAAAAACAAAAAAAGGCGCGAAAAGTACGCGCAGCAACAACAACAAAGAAAAAGATAAAAGATGAAATTACAAACGCTCCATCTATTGTTAGCAGCACCGTGGTTAAGCGCAATGGGAAAAAAGAGCCGCTACCGGGCCAACTACGCATTGATTCGTTTTTCAAGAGTAGCACAAAAAACTACAAAGTTGAACATTTCACAACAATCTCCCCTGGAAAAGCAAAACTTCGCCGTACTCCACGTAAAGGATGCAAGCGATTGTTCGATGAGAAGTCGACAACGACGGAAAGTTTGTCCAAAGTGTCAGATATTTCATTAGAACACAAGCTTAGCCGGAAACCTACACGAAAGCGAACACAGCCGCAGCGCAATGCAAAGGCGAAATGTGCGACATCCCCGGCTGACGTCATTGATCTCTGTTCCGACGCTGAACCAGAATCTGATAACAAGCCTGCGGTGCCTAGTGTGTTTGAGGCGGCTCGGCCCGAAACACCAGCTATGGTGAATATACCTTCTTTAAATCTACAGAGGAATTTAGAGACTGAGGCTTCTTCGAATGAAAATATGCCCAAAACACGACAGCGCAAGCGTTGCCCGCCTTATAAGATTGTAGAGGATACAACATTCGTCGTCGATGGTTTCCAGTTTGGCGATATTCCAAATGCGACACATTACTTTCTCAGTCACTACCATGGCGATCACTATGTGGGCCTAACCCGCAAGTTTGCTCATCCTCTATACATGAGCCCCATAACGGCCAGGCTCGTGCGTACGTTCATTCCAATTGACAGTCAGTACCTCCACGAAATTGCTGTCGATCAATCCATTACGCTCAATGACATTGAGGTCACAGCTATAGATGCCAATCAGTAAGTAATGTTTATCAATCAAGCTAATCTTGTCGATTAACCGTTTACTCCAATTATGATATAGCTGTCCGGGCGCTATAATGCTGATCTTTAAATTTAGCACTGGCAAGTGTATCCTCCATACTGGCGACTTTCGTGCCAGCTTTGAAATGGAATCGTTGCCAATTTTCTGGAACCAGCCAAATATTGATTTACTTTACCTGGACACCACATATCTATCGCAGAATTATGACTTTTGTCATCAGTCCGACAGTATTTATAGAGTTTGTTCCTTGGTGCGCCAATTTCACGAGAAGCACGCCAGCAAACGTATATTGCACGTGTGTGGCTCCTATTTGATTGGCAAGGAGAAGGTATGGTTGGCATTGGTCGAGGAGTTTAGGCTGCGCGTCTGGACAGAACCCAATCGCCGCAAAGCAATCGATTGTCTCGATTGGCCAGAGTTAAAGCATAGCCTCTGTGATGATCCCTTTGAGGCTAATCTGCATGTAATCAACATGGGAAAGATTAGCTATCCGGTACGATATTATTATTTAACGATGATGAATCTTATCTAATATGCATCTTGCTCACAGCAACTTGATCAGTACTTTAAGCAATTTGAGGGCCACTATGATATGCTGCTTGGCATACGACCAAGCGGATGGGAGAAGAACTCAAAGCCTTCATATGGCAAGCGAATCAGTGTAATTGGAGTGGAATATTCAGAACATTCAAGCTACAAAGAGCTGGAACGTTTTGTGCGCTTTCTTAAGCCAAAAAATGTCATAAGCACAGTTCCTTTAGGAAGAGATCTCTGCGTTACTCCAACAGTGCCGACCAACTGGTTCAAATATAAAGGATATGGCGGTATGCTCAGCAAGAGCTATCAGCCCTCCATTTCAACGTTTTTGGAGACGCCCCAGCGTAAGCCGCCGACAATGGCAAACAGAAGCACTAATATGATATTAAGTCCAATTGAAAACTGCGGCATCACAAATTCGGAGAACTTAGACGATCGCGATATAGCAGAGTCGGCAAAAGATGATTCCACTGAAGCTGCGCATCAGTCGGTTGACAGATTCATGTCTGATGCCTCCAATGATTTGCTCTCAATTATTTAGTTTTTTGTAGTAGTGATATCTTTAGTCGTTTTGTTTTTGTTTATGTTTGAATGTAAAGTTGAGTTAAGTTATTTTTCCCTTGCTTTAAAAAAGACTATTTTCTTAAATTATATATTTAGGTTAGAATTGGCAAAATAATTTAAAATAAAATACTTCTGAATCAGGATTAACAATCAGACAAGTCGCAGTTCATTTTTATTATACGTTCACCCATTTATTTTTAATATAAACCCGAATTAATCTATGCCTCGAATTAAATAAAAAATTATCAACTTTGCTGAAATGTATGTTAATTCACATACATTTCCGGGTTAAATATATGCTGATAGCAACAATTATATTTGCAAATTTATTAACGATATCAATTGTTCCCATCCGAGGCAACTCAATTCATATTTAAACAAGGCGTCGCCCACATTCATTTTGTATACAATACAAGGCATTATATTTGATTACATTTTTTATATGTGCATATTTAATTATATATATATATATAAATTATTTGTATTTCATTTTCCACTAGTTGACATAGTAACACTTGTTTATAAAGATTATGCTTAACGTAAATACATCATGGATAAATAAACTTTAGGATATTGATATTGTGTTTTTTGATGATATTCACAATGCAAGGGGCTGAAATAAATAACTTCAATGCGTCCCTGTTCTAAGCAGTAAGAATGACAACATGATTTGAAGCGGTTTGTAAACAATTCACACTGATATGTTTAGGTATAAATAAGTAATTAATGTATATATATATATTGAAAGCGCTGGAGTAACGAATTTTGGAATGGACACTGTTTTGACTTCTGCTCATTCAATTTTTATCAATTTAAACAATTGACTATACAAACAGTTGGATTAATAATTTGCTTAATTATAAACATGTACAATATGTAAATATATGTAATGTAAATAAATAGAAATTGATTTTAACGACAGTTTTCCAAAACTAACAAATTTAACAAAATCCAAATTGAAGGAGATTACAACTAAAAACTTTTGGCTATATAGCTCATAACAAGAAATCGCATAAGTAGACAATGACTTCGGAACCAGTCCAAATGATTTGGTGGGTAACACAGGAATTCAGAATGTAGTCGGCCAATTAACTGAAACAGAGTAGTTTTAAATATGAAAATTGTATTAGTTAGCCAAAAACCTACCACCAAGAAAAGAAAGGACTTTTGTTTTGGAAGCGCTGCGTGAATGAAGAAAATCGACTGCTACTAGACCTTTGTAAAGGCGGAGAGAAACGTCAATTAATATCTGATTGTTCTTATAACAAAACCTGTTCTTACCGTTCAACAACAACAGCTGGCATTTGGACTAACTGCACGGGTGATTTTCCATCCCTCAGTGCTTGCGTGAGGTTCAGAATCTGTCCCCGCATAACAGACATTTGCCGCTCAAAGAGTCGCTTGTCAAATCCGCGGTCTTGTTGGAATAAATACAGCAGATCTGTGCAGATTTCTTCCACAAAGTTCATGTCGGACAGCTGCGGCAGCACCTGATCTTTGATGTCATCGCTAAAGGGTACTTTGGCCTGTGGTAGCCAGGCCCAGTGATACGGGTATGCGCGCCAGGAGTCCGGATGCTTGAAGGGAAACGCCAAGCCATTATCAATGGCGGCAATTCTAATTTGTGGTGCTTCCACTAGATTCCATGTAGGCTCCGTTGGAGTATTTGCGTTCTTCTTGGTACTCGAGCTAGGTACTTCATCATCACTACTAAAATAGCTACTGGCCCCACCAATCGCAGGCTCACTAACGCCCATGGAAGTAGGCCCGGGTTGACCACCAGCAGTCACGCGCTGTGGATCATTGGCCAGCGGCATTGGCGGTTCGTTAAGGTCGATTATTGTCTGGCCAGGCACCAGTTTATTGGCTCGTGCCATGCTCTTGCCACCAGTTCCACCTACCTCGCCCACAAGTTTAGGCGCCACATATTTAATAAGCCAGTTGTCATTGCCCCGATCCGTGTTCCGAATGATGTAGTCGAGCACAACCAAACGCTCAAATTGCAGCTGAAAGGATTTGGACAGTGCCGGTGACAGCTGCTCGTGCTCAAATCGACGCAGCCAATAGTCGGCATCCTTATAGCCCTCTACAAAAAGCTGAAACGAGCCAGTCTGCGTAACGGAACGCATTAGGCATTAGCCGGGATTTTCCAAAGCTTATCATCTAGGTTTACTACTCACTTTTAGCGGCAGGCTCATGCGGTTGAAGTGCGCCGACGGATAATGCTCCTTGATGCGTTTTTTTAGCTTGGCCTTCTGTCTATCTATGCGCGCATAGTTGAAACTCTCGGCCACCAGTCGAACTACACGTGTCTTGGGCACGACGTTAAGATTCAGCTTACGATCAACCAAACTGGCACCAGACTCGGACAGATAGCTGTGGATTCAAACATCATTAATAAACTCATACAATTTATTGCCGCGTTTTTTTCCAATACCCTTGATTTGGTATTAAACATGCGCGCCCGAAACAACATGGACAACAAAGCTTGTGCATCCACTTGGTCCATTTGGGATTTAGTCTGCCATATGGCTCCTCATCCTTAGGCTTAAAGACGGCCAGACATCTCTGCTATAATTTGACAAATTAAAATTAACATTTTATTAACACGCATAAGCCCAATATTCTAAGCTAAACCTAAAATGGTTTTGATAGATTTTGAAAATTAACAAGAGTTCAATAATAATTTTGTTTATGCAAAAAGTAAAATTAATATAGTTAGGCAAACAATTTAAAATGTATAAAATATGTTTGTATCAAAGCCAAACCAAAAGTCATGTATAAATAACTCAATTACAAGACTTCCCCGTTTGTTAGAATATTTTATCTATGCACTGTCAAATGTTTTAATCTCAAGGCTAAGACTTAACACCTTGGACTATGCGAAGCGCATGATATTTGAACACAAGCATGTTGGATACCCATGCAGATGTGGAAGTGTTACACATTAAATATTAAAAAAAAAGGTTTTATAGTAAGACAAAAGAATTTTAGATCTGTTCCTGAGTATCCGAAGAAATGTGTTCCTTTATGTTTTTGTTATCAAATCACACTCGACTTACATTTGAGGCATCTTTGACGAAATAGGAACCACTGCTGCCCTGGTAGATGCGCTCAGGTAGAATACCCTTCTCGATTGCATATTCAGCCTGTGCCACGATCTCCGAGAAGAGCGGATCGTCTGGAATCAAAAACAATTTCATAAATAGTTTTCAAGGCAATAAGAGATTCTGTATTATTAACTAATGAAATTTGTGCGTAACACAAAAATGCGCATGCCCTTGGCAACACCTTAAAGCAGACTGCCATAAGAGGAGCTTTAGTTAATAAAACGAATGCTAAATAAATAATAAACTGCTGTCCAAGTTGGCTTCTTAAATGAGGCTCCGGCTTGTCGTGACAGCTGTGTATGTAGAGAAGTATGTATATATGTGAATATGAAACGTGGAGGGGTGGACAGCATATTGATTACCACAAGGTCACCGCAACTTGAACATATTGTAAACTATTTATTACTTGCCAAGAGAGGGACACGAGGCCGGCATGGCAAAGGCAAATTAATGTAATGGTCCGTCCACTTGGAAAGACTTAGAAATACGAGAGGAAGCTATATTCTCCCTTTGTTCAGTTCTCACTACCTATAAAGTCGAAATTATCGTTGAAGTCGCAGTGGTCCTGGAAAATGGTGAACACCTGCTGCATAAAATGCTCGCGACTTAAGCTGAACGAACACGACATTATCATTGAATGTGTGTCGGGCTGGCCAAGCACACTCGCTTCAGGTTGCCGTCAAATTAAATAATGGGAGCATAAAAAGTATATCTCGAAATTTGCATATCGAAAGCATTTCGATAGGGTCTACCTCACACATCGTTGTTGCCGGCACTTACACATGTTCTTCAGCGGGCAATTGGCACATTGACATTTTGGCTGTGCTATTTTAAAGGTGTCCGAGTCTTCGGAGTCTCGCATGCCGGAGGGCGCACTGTACAGAATGGGCGGCTCCTCCTCTCCATCCGACAGATAGTCCTTTTCTGCTGCGTTACATTTTTGCTTACAACAATGACACACGTATTGCTCATATAACGATTCCTCCGATTCTTGCCTGCTAACTGAATCGTTCCCCTTGGCCGGTGCGGGACCGACATGTGCAGGCCGATCGTCGACGGCCTCCGCATGAACTGCCTCTGAATGAGCTGCCACAATTCCGTGTGTCTCCATTGCTGATCATTTTTCGTGGTACGCTTTTGATATTGACTATGTCCATTGGTCGACAAGCGTTTTTATGACAACTTCCATTTTTACATGCACTAAATTTGCAATACTTTGAATTTGGCAGGGATCGCGTATGGTAACAATGAAATAACGTTATGTTATACACGAAACACAACAACAAACAATTTACGTTGTAAGCGAAAGGAATTTACTTTAAATAATGAAAGGAAAACCAATGGCTTTCAAAAAACAAACTCAAGAGTGTTGAGTGTCACGCATGGATAAAGACATTTTGCTGCCCAACTAAGTAGCTCTGTACTTGCATATTCTCTTGATCAGTTCGACGAACTACGGCGTCAAGGGTGCTAATGAAATGTTTACAAATCGCTCGCCTATATAATATAGCTGGCATAACAACAATCTACATGCATAGCTGCAAATAGCTGCAACGATTCTTAAATTTCCTCGCTCTCTTGTTGACAACGATTTGGTTAAGGTCCGATTACTGAATCTTCTAGCTGCTATAAAGACCACAGCTGTTTAGGCCTTTATATACATATAAATTAATATATAATACAACAATTTATAGTGATGTAGTCAATGAAATTTGTTCTTACACAGCTGATGCAATACTCGCTCATAATATGCGCAATACTGATGTGTACTCTATTATTTAAATGCCTTGCTTATTTTTTTGTTATTAAATAATATTCTTTACTATCGAGAAGTTACTCAAGTGCGCCCATTAAAGGGCTTTTACAAAGTCATATAATTATAAACAAATTAATGACTCACATCAACTGATGAGACACAAATTTGGTATTAAACCTGCATGCTATATTTTGTAAATTGATTGGATACTAAGGGAGAAGCGTAGAGGGTTGGGAAGCAACACGTGTCTTATAAGTGCTTAGGCGAGTACAAATGTGTAAACAAACAAAATAATATGTATTTTTAAACTAAATGGAGTTCAAGTGTTCTATTTATACTGCATTGAAATGCCTGACGAAGGTTCTGTACTTTTGGACACTGAACAGGGTAACTCCCAGTTAATCATAGTATAGCTATTTGTGTTTAGCTTTGCAATTCAATGTCGAGTCAACATTAAACGACTTGAATGTTTTATCTCTGAATACAGCTTTTACTGAACCTATTGTTATATATTATAATTATTGCTGTACGGCATTTGCATTTGCACGCCTGCATGTTTGGATTATGATAAGGTTTGCAGCCAAGTTGGCTTTGTGAATGTGTGATAAGCCGCACAATAGAATGTCTTTGAAAGTAGAATAACAGAATTAAAGTACTCGACGACAGCCATACATTGTAATCTTACACACACACAGGCAGAAAGAACGAGAGCAAGAGATACACACAGACTAGGTAAGAAGCCCCACAAAAGTTTGTAAGACTTCGTTTGCAGTTTGCAGTTTGCACAGCACAGAACACTCACCGCCAAATGTGTTTGACACGAGGTCAACGTGATCATGTCCGCGTCCCAGAGCGCCAAGTAGATCGCTAATGCGACTGGCATGACTGCCGCCGCCGCCGCCGCCGCCAAGCAGCGGCTGTGATTCGCGATTATCGCTGCCTGCGTCCGTGGACATGCCCTCGAAGTCGATTTCTGGCACTAGGCAAATATCGTCGGCCTCCTCGTGGGGCAGGCGTGTCGTTGCTTTCAGCGGGGATGTTGCTGACGATGACGTTGTAGTTGGTGCGCGTCGCGCTGGTGTTGCAATGTGACTAATCACAAGCTGTGGGGCTAGTTGCGGCGTCGTTGCGCTTGATCTGCCGCTAACGCTCTCGCTGCTCTCCTCGGAGTGTTTGCGTTTGCCATTGCCATTGCCATTGCGGAGGGCGGGTAGATTATTGTGCAGCAAAACTTCTTCCTCGTCGTCGCCATCGGCATCGGCGTCGTCGCCGATGTCATGCAGCATTAACAGCTGGCTATTTTGCGGTTGCTTTTTGCAAACAGCAAAGACATCAACGTTTTCACCATCGTCGCCGCCAGCACCATCAATGGGCGCCACATCATCAGTACCATACGCGACAGAATCATCACTATCAGCATCAGCATCGTCTACTGATAATAGAACTTGATCCCGATCTCTTTTTGGCTTTCGTTTTTGCCTTCGCTTGCCGCTCGTAGCCTTGCTATGCACGCCAATTGTATTTATCTGTGCACAAAGATAAAAAACAACTTTATTTCGTTGCTTTTCACTCGCGTTAGAATGCTTCGGGGGAACTCACCTCGACTTGGGTAGTCAACTTATTGATCCCACCTGTATCGCAGCCGTTTAGGAGTGGTGCCAGTTGATTACTGCTAACTGTTGTTGTTGCCTGCTGCTTGACAAAGTCACCAATGAGATCCATCTCATCCTCTAACTGTAGCAAGGGCGCCTCTGCAGCTTGCGTTGCCCCTTTCGGCTGAGCGTTGTTCATGGCTGCACGTAAGCGGCAGTAGGACGTGTGTGCGTGCCCGTATGTGTAGCTTTTGGGTGGGGTAGCTACGCGCGACAAATCTCAAAACGGGAATGTCGCCCGAAGCTAGCAATCGCGGACAGAGCAACAAAGGCGCGCGTCTGTGGCTTTTCGGGCGAACGTGAACACTGTTATCTGCTGGGCGGTACGCCTCTTTTATGCATATTTTGCATGTTCTATAATTTAATCTGTAATTGATTTAATTTATTTTTTGTTGCACATTTGCTTTTTAGCAATTATTGATTGCTTTCTGTAAACTTTATATCTATATATATGTATATATATATCGATTCATTAACAAGATACGAAAATGATGAGCAACGGGACTGTCCACTTACTGAGAATACAAAGTGTGAAATAATGTTGCAAACAGCTGACGAGACTATCCACTTGCGCATTATCATAATCGTTCTAAATTAATGATGTTATCGATTGTTAAATATTCAAATCGATTTATTCGCTCTTCGAAACAAAAAAAAAAAAACAACAGCCACACTAAATAAATAATTTATTTTGTTCTAACAATTTTCAACTTTATTCTTATTCATACATTTGTAATATATACGATACATTCACTTCTAACGTAGCGCAACAATTTGCCGCATCCTGTTAATGCCATTTAATACGGTGCTAAGCTCTCGTTGCAGATTTGTACTCTCCGCTACCAATTCAATAGCTTTCTTGAACCTTTCCACCGCACTTCGTAAATTCATTGAGGGCAATACGCTAAACCAATGTAAGGGCTCCACATAGCCGTTTTCCTTGTCGACTTCATAGCGCTCAATAGTAATGTCGGCAGCTCTGTCTTCGTCTTGCGCATTTATTACTCTGCATAGGGCTTTAAACTCTGCACTATTTTCTGTTGGTATCTGCGCGGTCGATATTGATTGGCCTCCCTGTTGGAATTTCGTTCGTGCTAGGAGAATGGCGCCACTGGAGTAAGTGCGTTCGATGTCTGTGCGGCATTGGGTGTGCGCTTCGATTAGATGAAACATATCCAGATAGAGGGTGTCAAGCAATTGTCCAGCAGCAATCCTATCATTTTCACACTTTTCGGTAGACATTTTCAAGTTAGTTTCTATAATTGGACAAATTTTAATAATTGTGTTATGAAAAATAAAAACGGTATCAGTCCCAATCATATGATCGGAAACAGGTCTGTTCTTGTACACATTTCACATTGTTGGCAACGCGGTGTTTTATTTATGTTACTTGACAGTGATATGTTAAGTAGAGGCACAACCTTTTTATATTAGGGATGTGCAGTTCAATAATGAACAATTTGAAAACATTATTTTTTCCGTTTGAATACGTATGTTGTATAGTTGTATATTGCGACACTGTCATTATACATATTAAAATAAAGCTTTGACAAGACCATAGAAATTGAACCACTAGCTGGTGCAACAGATGGAACTAAAGGAACTTGAAGCTGAACTGTAATGCCCAACACTACTGTTAACCCATCTTTATATCTACAGATGCTAATTTACTCTACAGAAAGGCTGTTTGCATTTTCTATAGCTATCGCCAATTTCACCACGAAAATTAAATTAAAAATTAAGATATGATTAATTTCAATAAATTATAAATTTTCGATTTAAAAAAAAAAAAAAAAACAAATAAAAATTCTTTTATTGTGTTGAGAGAGTATAGAAACGTCGGTGCGCGATGTTTGGATTGTTGGTATACATCTGTCACAAATGCGGATTAGAGAAAGTTTATAAAAACCCGGTGCAATTAGCGACTAGCAGTTAGTTATAATAATAATACTTCTTGTACCAGTTGTCTTGCCCGAAAATCAACACATTCGCAATAATTACAAAAACTGTTAACGTTGTAAACAGTTCCAAAGTTGAAGTTATATTTGAGGAGCGCTTGATAATGCTTCAAAGCCATAGTGCAGACTTGGAATTACGTAGTCGAAAATGCGGAAAGCAGCCAAGCAACAACAAACCAGACGACGTTGACAACACTTCGTCTTGGTCGGATGAAGCGCAGGTCTCAAAAATCTATTGATATTTGGTCTCGGTTTGCTTGTGTTTACCTATAAATACAAATGACACTATGAACAAATATTGCAAATATGCCTGACCTCGTATTTATATAACGTACACACATTCCGCAAATCATCAGAATCATGTAACGAATTGTGATGTACCCATACATGAACATACATACATATAGTTGTTTGCATGTGCTTCCCTACATCGGCATCGTACATGTGCCTGTTTATCTTATCGCAGCAATAGTTATATGTGTATTTACCTAATATACTCCGTCTAATAGTCTAATGACTTTGCCTTATTCAGACAACAAGGAGACCCAGCACAGAACACACTCAGTCAATGGACAATACCCAAGTGGCCGAAATGTCAACGACTAGCAAATCAACGCCGCATCGCAGTAGTCTTGGCAAAAGTTCCATTGAAGATTTGGACGTTCGTGAGAACGAGAACGAAATGTGGCGCAATGAGCTGCAACAAAACGACGAGCTGCTGCCAGAAGCGGAACCGGATCAGGATCCGCCAGTGCCCGCCCGTAGAAAAAAGTATAGCGATTTGGTGGACATTGTCATACGCATTGTGATTACGCTGATTTTTTTGTGAGTAATGCTGCTTATCTCATTGTCATGCAGAATGAATCATGATTAAATATCCATAAATTTAACCTTTTAGTAAACTGGAAACAATGTCCGCATTTAGGCGACAAATCCACTCTGAGGAGTTGTGGCTATACAAAAATCCACCCCGACCGGATATCGTCAGGGGCGGCGATCTGTTATTTTTTGTAATAGCCGTGCCGTTGTTACTTACAATAATATTCTACGCATTCACCAAGGATCGCAGAGATTTTCGGGCAGCCAGCTGGGCGTGGACATTGGCGGTGTGCTCGAATGCCGTACCCACGAGTCTGTTGAAGATCAGCGTGGGACGACCGCGTCCTGACTTCTTTTATCGTTGCTTTCCTGATGGTGTCATGGTGCTAAACGAAACCGCCGACGCGATTGGCAGCTCATTGCTCGATTTTAATTGTACGGGCATCCCTAGTGTGATAAACGAGGGCCGCAAAAGCTTCCCCAGTGGGCATTCGTCCTGTAAGTAGACTCACACGAATTCAATCAAGAAGCTTACTGATTTTTAACACGCACTTCCGATGCACATTTTTCAGTTGCCTTTGCCAGCTTTGGATTTGTTACCTACTATGTGGTTGCCAAGTTGCAGGCTTTCGATGCACGAGGACGGGGCCACACTTGGCGTCTATTCATTGCCATTATGCCCCTTATTGTGGCCGCCTTGGTAGCCGTTAGTCGCACCTGTGACTATCATCATCATTGGCAAGATGTGGTAGTGGGCGCACTAATCGGCCTGGCCACCGGATACATTAGCTACCGACAATATTATCCCTCAATATTCTCGACCGACGCGGGCAGACCCTTTGAGAATGCTGGTGATGAGATGTGCAGACCATTGCTTGGTAAGCAGACAAGCAAATGGCGCTGAAGAACACCCGAAGAACCCAACATCAAACAAGTATTGCTAAGGTCAACAAAAGTGCATGCGGTTTCCAATTAGTAACTTAATGACTTGCGAAGTCGAAGCTGTATTCCTTAAGGTAAACCATGCCAATTAATGTGGGCTTTAATGCACAGCTGTGCCGTATTGTTGTTCAGGTCAGATGTAGTACGTAGTACTCGTAACATAGTATAGTCGGGTACACTAATGAAAAAAGTGGTTATTCTAGTTCAATTGCTAGACTAAGTATCAGGAGCGGAGCAATCAATAATTAAATGTAACATTTTGTGGGAGCAAACAATGAAGCTAAGTATGAAGAAGCTTGAATATCTGTATCTATAAGTATAAAATATTAAACATTAATAGATTTCAAACAATTATGTCCAATAATTTAAGTTATGTACATTGCTTACAGTTAATCGCGCACGTCTAGTTCAATATTGTTGTAAGGTCCCAAAAAAATAATTACATTAGTTTTTGCTTTTGCTAAAAAATGTATTTAAACATTTGTTTTAATTTACGCTTATTCTGCAGCAGCCACATCCAGACATTCGAAATACAAATTTGTTACATCAAAATGCGACCAAAACTAGCCTAAAATTGTTGGTTGTGTTGATTTAGTGTGGTCCATGTTTTCAACTCATGGAGTTGAACGCCTGAAGGAGCACTTGCTTCTCGCGTTCCTTTTTCTTGACCACATCCAGACTGCGCTGTCGCCAGGTGCTCTTACGCAGCTTAATGGGCCGACTGCCCACGTAGCGACCGTCCATTTCCTTCATGGCACGTATAAAGTCAGCCGGTTCGCGGAAGCTGACAAAGCCGAATCCTTTGCTTTTGCCGGTTCGTTTGTCGCGAATAACGCGCGCCCTCTGGAAGGATGGGAACTTGTTGAAGGTGCGCGTCAGCACCTCGTCGTTGACATCATTTCCGAGGTCGCCACAAAAGATACGAAAATCATCATCCGGCCAATCCGCCAAAGAGGCATCCTCCCACACAGTGCCACCGGCAATACGCACAGTCTTCCGATCCTTCTTCTTGCGCTCTGTGGTCTGAAATGATTGCAGCGCCGATGAAGCGCGCGCTGCTTTAATAGCTTCTTCTGCAATCGGATTGGGTCCCGATTTTTCAGCCTTAAGCTTTTTGAGTTTTTGCGTAACATCAAACTGTATAGAATTTATGTTAATGTCAATTGCTGGCGCCGTGGCCACCGTCGGCACATGCACCGACTGACGACACTGATAGAGCTTCGGCGCACTGCTGAGCACGACCGGGGTGGCGGACATGGGTTTGGATGGCGAAGTAGATGAGCCGCTGCCCGTGGGTACGAATGTAGACATAAATGTGGGCGGTGGTGGTATTGGAGGCGGTGGCACCGCCATGCGAGGCTGATGCTGCTGCAATTTCTGCTGCACGTTGTTATACGTATTCGCCGCGATGATCGGGCGTACTTGATTTGGTACAAAAAGGTTTCGCGCTGGCGGCTTAGAGATCTCCGCTTCGAAGCGCGAGAGCTCATCTTCGATATTGCGACGTTTTGTGCCCATTTCGAAAGGCGTACGCTATTGTTGAGATGTCAACAATAAAAATTCAAAACTAGATACAAATTTTCAATCGTAATGCTTCAGAAAACAGATGTTTTTGGCGACCATTAGAGATGTGAGTTTGGCCGATTTCGATTACAAAAATGAACAGGAATTATTAGTACTTTTTCAAAAGTACCACTACCCATGTTTTTTAATATATTGATATTTTGAGGCGCTTATACAAAGATTGGTTCGTTTATTAGTCAACCACTTACGTTACGAAGTCAACATATATAA